TCCTCAGGCTCGACAAGGAGAAGAAAAACCAGTCACCGCACAGACCGGAACCCGAGACTACGAAACAGAGCACACTTGAATCCCTCAAACTGTCACCGTTTCGCGAGCCTCCAGCAGAGATCATCAACGCGTGGGAGCTTATGGAGGGCCTTGAGGACGAAATATTGTCGGCCCGAAAAAGTCCAAAGTCGAGACCTTTACTACGTAACCTAACAGAAATCGGCTCCCAGAGCCCAATGAAGTTCCTGAGTCGAGTGGGGTCCCCGAGAAGTACGAAGAAAACCGTGGGCAAGGAGAATAACGGACGGGTCAATGTGGGCTCAACAGAAAATAGCCCGAAAACAGTTCTTGGTGAATCTAATAGATATAACTCCAAAGAAAGCACGAAAAAGCCGTCCCCAAGACTGTGGGCCTCGATAAAAGGAAGCCCAAAAGTGAAAAGATCAGAGAGTCTGAGGATCGATCACCCGGGGGTTGTCCTGTCGAGGAGGAGTTTGGGCCCGTTTTTCGACCCGGAGCTCGTGGCCTCGTTCGAAAAGGAGGTGTTTGAAGAGGAGGAACAGATCAAGAAGATGATTTCGGCCTCGTCGGACTTAAATCCAAATAAATCGAAAAATCCCCACGAATCGGATGCAATTCTTGAGTCGTACGAGAAGAAATGTCCCCCGGGGGGCTATAACGCGATTATTCTGTACACGACGACCTTGAGGGGCATACGGAGGACTTTTGAGGACTGCAACGTGGCGCGTTCGATAATCGGGGCACACGACGTGCAGGTTTTTGAGCGGGACATATCCATGGACTCGGGCTTTAAGAAGGAGCTGAGGGAGCTGGTGGGCTGCAAGGAGGTTCGGGTGCCGTTGGTGTTCGTGAAGGGTAGGCTGATAGGTGGGGTGGACGAGGTGGCGAGGCTGGAGGAGGAGGGCAAATTGGGGATTTTGCTGGAGGGGATCCCGACGGCGGGGCCCGCGGGCTGCAGGGGATGTGGCGGGGTCCGGTTCGTGATGTGCCACGCGTGCAGTGGGAGCTGCAAGCTGTTGGGGAATGATGGGAGAAAGAGTGTCAAGTGTGGTAAGTGCAATGAGAATGGTTTGATTGTGTGCCCAATTTGTTGCTGTTAGGATTATGTGTGCGTGTGTGTAATTTGATTGTGGTACTGACATGGAATTGGGTTTCTTGTTTTGTTTTTTTTTTTTTTTTT